CAATGCGATGCGATAAGCTCACCTTAATCTCGCCCTTCGTGCCCACGATTATCGCATCGTTGCCCAGATTCTCCAGACCCGTAATGAGCGCCATTAGGCGACGATTTTCTCCGTAGTCTAGTATAAATTCGGTTTGCACATCCACGCGTTCGGCATTCAGCTGAGTGCCGCTGGGTATGATCTTCACCGGCGCCGTGCCAAACACAAACTGGCCTAGCTGCAGGGCATAGATGCCAATGTCCAGGGTGATCGAGCCGCCCAACGAGCGGCTGGCAATGCGCTCCACGTTGGCCAAGCGGAAGCCGTGCTGCAGCCTGATCAGCTTCACCTCGCCAATGCAATTGCTGAGCAGCAGCTCACGCAGGCGATCATAGCTGGGAAAGAAGCGACTCCACATGCCTGCAAGCAATCCGATTGCATTACCAATTTGCCACCTTTCCCGTCGCCACCCACTCACCTTCCATGAGAAACAAGCCACGCTGCTCGGCCAATGCGTAGAGCTCCTGCGCCTGCGGCAGGCCCAGGCACAGGGGCGTCTCGCAGAGCACATGCTTGCCCCGCGACAGCATGAGCCGCACCACGGCATAGTGAAAGGGATTCAGCGTGCCCACATACACCACATCGACATCCCGGTCCAGGGAGAGCTCCTCGAAGCCATCGTAGTGTCGCGGTATTTGATTGCGCTGCGCAAATTCCTGTGCCCGGGCGCCCTCCACATCCGCAACGGCCTGCACCACGTGTCGGGAGTTCTCAATGGTGCCCAGCGCAGTGACAAAGTCTTGGGTGATGCGTCCAGCTGCTGCGATGCCCCAATTCAGATTCTGGCTCTGCATATTTGTGTTTTGTGCAATTCTGTGCTGTCGCCTCGCAATAGTTGGCACAACTGTCGGAACGCATCCGGCGCTCGATGCGCCAAGTGCGCCTCTTATCAGACCCTGGCATCTGCATTCACTGCACTTTTTCATTACGTTCCCAACTGATAACAAAGTAACACGGGCAGCAAGTTTTTAGAGCTTTCCATAATATGTCATGTGAATATCAGCCCAAGCTGCGTTCCATTATATTCAGCGTCAAGTTATCCATTCTCTTACAGTCAAATACTCTGGGAATTGCTTTCGTGATTGTCTTCCGTGTTTATTGCCCCATCTTGATGAAGGCATCCCAGCCCTATAAAAGCGTTTTCTCCATTTTGAAGGTAATGGGGGAGTTATCACTAAATGAACTATTCCAAAGTTATCGACAGAAGGTGATAGCTTTAGCTTTCTTATAGACGAACATGGCTAAATTGTGAACACGCCTCTTTCTGCCTGTTACATCCATTTGTTTCAAACCAAATATACCCGTCTTTACACATTTTCAATGGGTAAAGGCTTGTGAATAATAACTAAGTAAATAAAAAATAGATAAGCGCTATTGGGGGGTTGAACCGCCGACCTCGCGCTTCTCAGCTCGACGTTCGGACACCTTGCATACATAATTATATTTGCTTAGGATGTTTCGACCACAGTTTCTACCCATTTGTGGGTCAATTTTCCAGTTACATAGAATATAGAATAGAATAAACTGTGATTAAACTGACGATTGATTTACTAAAGCTTGACCTGAACAAACTCATAAATTCCCGGCCAAAAGCAACTCGTAGTAAATTGAGATTGTGCAAGCCTGATTGTACAAGCTGGAAACTTCCCATGAAGATTAGATAAGACTATTAAATACATTTAGATAGAGTATAGATTATAATTGCGTTTTGTTAGTTATTAATACACTTGTTTACAAATTTGGTCTATTCCTCGTCATATTTGTTGAGCACACCGATCTGTTTTCTGATCGTGTCCTCGATCTGGGCAAAAAGCAAACTGTCCGCGTAGGTGACGCTCTTGTTCTCCAACTCGCCAGCGAGTATGGATTGACGCACTGCCTCCGCCTCGTAGCGCATGCCCTCCGAGTTGCCATAGTTGGTCGCGTACTTGCCCTTGGGCGGCAGCCACTCCTTCTCCTTGCCATCAATGTCAATCAGTTTGTTGGGCGACCAAAAGTTAATCAACTGTAATGCGAAAATATTTGAGAATTTAAATCGAATGGAATTTATGATAAGTGCATTAAGGTAATGAGATGAAACCAGCTTTGAAGCAAGCCGGAGTCCGGTAGACATAAAGCCAAGAATTTAATAAGGTAGATGCTAACTTTAGATAGAAATGAAATTTAGCTCGGATCATGTATTGCTTGGAATATTTTCACTAAAATGGCAAATAACAAATTAGAAACTAAAAATGTGGAAAACTAGGTTCCTTAAAAGGCGAACGTTGGCTCGAACCCCCGACCAATTCTTTTTGGTTTACAGCCCTTGATAAATACCCAGACCAGAGGCTCTGCTCAGCTGATAAGTTCGGGTTCTTGAAATAGATTTTGTGTCGTCACGAAAACACTCGACTTTGAGCACATGCCGGCAACGTGAACGTTTATCAATGTTTTTTTTTGTGCAGAATCATGGTGGGCGTGTTATTGACATACCGTTACTTGTCCTTTGGTGCCCTTGATGACGGCCTTGTTATCCAGCTGCACCTTGCCAGAGACCCGCATGCGTGCAGTACGCCCGCCGCTGTAGGTGAGCGTGGCGCTGACATCATCATCCACGCCCTCGGCATTGGTCTGCCCGGTTGATTCGATTTTCTGTGGAGGCTCCTGGAATGCCCACTGCGACACTTGGATAGTATAAATGCCCAGATCGTAAACGACGCCGCCGCCCAGTTCGCGTTTCCTGCAGAAAACAGATTAGATACTGTGGCTAGCTGCCCAGCTAAGACTTACTGCAGCCGATCGACGTTGGACAGGGGAAAACCAAAATTGACCTCCACCTCTTTAACCTCGCCTAGGGCGCCGGTCTGGATGAGCTGGCGCACATGTTCATAAGAGGGAAAGAAGCGCGACCAGACGGCCTCCATGAAGAAGCGTTTGTTTGCCTTGGCGGCAGCCAGTATGCCCTCCACCTGCTTCTTGTTCATTGCCAGCGGCTTCTCGCAGAGCACATGTTTGCCATGGTTGAGCATCAGCAGGGAAACCTCATAGTGCTGCGGATTCAGCACGCCGATATAGACCACATCTGCAAAAGGAGGGAGGGGACTCAGTGAGGAATAAGGCCCACTTGGCAATTATCAGGCTGGCAGAACACTTACCCACATCCTTGCTCTTCGCCAGCTCCTCGTAGCTGCCATAGGCATTGGGTATCTCGTGCTTCTTGGCAAACTCTGCGGCACGTTCCTGGGCGCGTGCTGCCACAGCGACCACCTTGTGATCGGTGGCCGGCAGCGTGCCTAATGCAATGACGAAGTCCTCGCTAATTTTGCCAGCGGACGCGATGCCCCAGCGGATGAGTTTGCCCGACGACATGTTCAACGTTTCGGCAATGCACTGTGAATGAGTTGATGGCGGGACGTGTTGTTAGTTAAATATGAAAACGTCGGCGCCGGTAACACATCTGGGGCGTGCTATCAGCAGTGGGACAAGGCGAGAAAGCATACAGAGCGAAAGGGAGAGAGAAACTTGCCGATAAGGATGGTATGCACTTCAAACTATCTTGATGCCCTTTGCAGAAGGTAAGAAACCCTTTTTTGGACAACTGCAACTATGCTTTTTGGCCTTTGTTTAAAAATAAAAGCGAATTCGTATAAAAAAAAAAAAAAAAATTAAATACCAATTTCTCATTGCTTCAGCCTGATCGAAATGTTGGAATTTCACAACGTTATTAAATTAATATCATTGTCCTTTTCACATCATGACAATAATAACTGATTTACCTTATATATGAATGTGTGTGCAGATGTCCACAATTATTATTCTGTTAGTGGAGACGTATTATATATGTATATACTATGTACATTAACATTAAATATTGTGTGCAGCAGGCGAGCTTTCAATATGGTTACAGATTTCTGTTTACAAATGCAACAGGTGCAGCCGTGTTCGGATTATTTACTGCTAAGGTGCATTTAGATATGTTTACATATTTACGTGTTCACATTCTTTGATTTACTGTACCGGCTAATTTTACAAATATATGTATTGACAATTATACCTTAAAATAATTGCTAATTGATAGCTTAGCATACACTAACAACGTTCGAACTATTTTTATAACTAAAAACTTTCCGCTGTGTTCTGTAGAGCGACACATCGACAACAGTCAAAAGTTTGCCTTAACAGTAGCATAACAGGAGTGAGAATATATGCATCAACATTGTTAAACACTATTATTAAAAGCTAAGACAACTTCTATTCATGTCTATAATATCAGTTCGGTTTGGATCAATATCATTATGTTATTTGATAGTTTAAAAGTTGATTTTTGGCGAGCTCAAGTTAGCAGTAAGTAACACAATTTGAAAAAAAGCGCCATAGCAAGCCTGTCATTCGCATGTAAGCGTTGCGCCGAACTTGACGAAAGTGGGCATCCATGGCTACACTAACTTAACGACCTGAGTGATTTAATGCAGCCCTGGTATTGATACTGTGCGCGTTGCAAGTACATTTTTGACTGACTTGTTTTCTTAAATATTCTGCCATCTGTGCGACCAAAAATCATTTTTGCTGTGCAGCAACTCGCATTGCCCAACGCTACACGGCTGGTCTGAACGCTGCGCTGTGCTAAAACGCGATTGTAAACATGTCCGAACGCTCCAAAGGTGACGTGTCGCGCGTTAACAACAATGCAAATCGAACTGTTAAAAATCCGCTGCTCACCGCCTCCGTGACGGGACTTACCTTTGACGACTTCCCCAATAAGCCGGTCCTGCTACCAGCCGCCCCGCCCGTGGTGCATGCACCGCCACCGCAGCCCACGTCCGCCCTCATCGCTGGCATTCTCAATCGCGGTAAGTGTGTCAGCCACAAGAGAGCACAGATTGAACCAGAGAGAGCGACAGAGAAAGAGACAGAGACAGAGAAAGAGAGTAGCGAGTGGGCCGCAGTTCAATTGTCAATTGTCACTTGTTGCTTGTTTTTTCTTTTGGTCTGATAAGCGTTAACAGTTTTCTGCTATCTTTATTGGGCAATTCTTAGAGTTCGTGTTTATAGTTGTTGTATTTTTGGCAAAGAGTATTCCTAATCTATTCCATGCTGCGCGTCGAGTGCGAGCGATAGGTGGGCAGCTCCAGCGACACCTTGCGACGCCTGCAGCACCAGACAATACTCCAAATCAGGAGCACAATCAGCAGCAGCAGCAGTATAGCGCCCAGACAAATGGCAGCTATGGCTGCCTCGGTCAACACCACGTCCCGAACGTCAATGTTAACGCTGCGCTGATTGCCTGCCGCATCGTAGGCCGTTATGGCCACCTTTGGTTCGCAGCATGAGGCCATGTAGGTGGCCTTCAGTGGCTCCGTTGTGCCCGCCGTGTAGTAGTTGCGATAGAACAGACCCTCCGCTGGCGTTGTCTGCAGGCGCAGCATGCCCGACTGCCAGTCCTGTGCGGTGAGGTCCAGTGTCCAGAAACGATCGCCACAGCTCAGTCCATCGCTGGCCACATAGTCGCAGCGACTACCAAACTCCCAGGAAAGATTTGGTCCCGTCGTATCCTAAACGGATCAGCATGTTATCAGCGCATTTTTTTCTAAGATTCTAAGTCTGCTATACGAACCTGTGCATCGATGCTGGATACGACCTTAAGGCTAACCGCCAAAGTGGCCGTCTCGCGTCCATAGCTGGTGAAAGTGATTCTATCGGTGGTGCCCGACGCTGTGCCATCCGGCACCAGCACGGTCAGACGCACGGTGCTTGTTTCCCGTGCACGCAAATAGAAGCTGCAAATAGTGAAGAGTTTCAGTTTCAAATTTGGCTAGCAGCATCTTTGCTGGCGGACTCACCCCGTTGGGCTGAGCTGCACGAGATAGCGACGCTCGTCCGTCACCTGGACGGTCTGATAGACGCGCTCTGCCCGCATATTTGTCACCTCGAAGAGTAGCGTCGAGACTTGACCCGCGTTGACCAAGAGCCTCGATTGTGTGCTGAGCTCTATTTTGGTGCCGCAGCGCTGCAGCAGCATGGCATTCAGATTGGCTCGCTGCGGCTCACCCGTGGCGGCAGCGAATTGGGTTTGATTGAGGCTCGTCGCTGGCTGCACCAGCTCTGTTTCCGAGAAGGTTTCCACTTCGCTTTTGGGTGACTGCGATTCGCTCTCTAACTTCTCCTGCGACTCGGGAAACTTGAGCTTGGCCAGGCGTGCCAGCGAAGCCAACGGGCGTTCAGTCCGTCCATGCGAATAGTAGCTATCGATCCGTTTTATGATATCTCCTACAATTGACAACGAAAACAGGAATTGTTAGCTTCAGAATGAACACGTGCTTGTTGTTGTCGCCGCCGCCGATGACCACAGTTCTTTTGTGTGTGCTCCGGATTGGATGGCGTCAACAATCATTTCGCTGCGATGACGCTCAAGGTTGACACGGTTATCAGAAAGGCGGGCCGCGTTATCAGCCAGCATAGAGCACCGGTTAGCTTGTCTTGTTTTCGTTTTTCGTGTGCCACAAACAACGCATCTTAATTATAATTATTTTCTGTTCAGTTGTATGCGTCAAGCGCGATCGCCAGGTTGCTTTTCACAACTTTCAATTGATTCGTTTTGCTGAGACAAACAACAAAAGCACATACATACATAAATATATTTAACACTTACCCAGAAACACATCAGCTTTGCGTTCGGCGCGTACAAATACATTGAATGTGGCGTTGGGCGAATCCGGCGTCAGCTGCAGCTTGAGGATTGCCGCTTTACGCAGCTTGTTGAGCGGTATGTAGGCGTCCAGTTCGTCGGTGCTGACATTTCGGGTGTCGTTGGTTGACTTGAATTTGACCAATTTCTTTAAATTGATGTCTATGCAAAAATGATACAAAATACACAAACAAGTTAACAGGTGTATTTTGCCATTCACTGTGCCAGCGTACACAGCTGTTTGTGTTTAGCGTTGCCAGACTGTTAGCGGCACGTTGTGTACATAATAAAATGATTAATCAACATTAAACAAATTGCGAAACTTCAATAACGGTTGTACATAATTGCAGTATGATCTGCAGAAATTGTGCAAGCTATTATCATTAGCTTCAATTATTAAACCATAAACATATAACCAACAGTTTGCGCGTTGGCAACTCTGCGCTTGTTTTGTGTGTATGTTATGCAGCAGCTGCTCTGTTGTTGTTGCTGTTATTGTTGTAGTATTGTGAAAGGAAAACACTTCTGCAAAACATTTAACACAAAAACGATTGTTTCTCATTGTGAAATTAAACAAATTGTCAAATAACTGTACAACGCTAAAGTGGTAGCCGAGCCGAGTTAAATGTTGCCACAAAGCCCACTTGCCATCTAACATGACCAGCGGCGTAATATAAGTTTCTATTCGTGTACATCATCAACAACAGCCTGATTCGATTTTGGTCAGGCCACTTTTGAACTTGGCCATGGCAGTGGCCAAATGCATGCTGGCCGACTAACTAATGTGTATGTATTTGTATATATAGTTACTACTATTGCGACATTTTGACAACAATTTCAACTAAAACTTGCCATTTTTCGGTGTTAAATTGTGTTTTTTTTTCAAAATCGTAAATTTGTTCACATTTATACAAAGTGCGGGCTACAACTGTTGCAATGTTGCGCCTGGCAAAACACACGCAGCTTCAATTGATTTGTACAACAAAAAGCGGTGACAGCGTTGCCTGTGTATGTGTGTGTGTGTGCGCGCGTGTGCGTGTGTGTCTGTGTGTGTGCTCTAAGAGTGGGAGTGCGGGCTTTTATCGGCTTCTTTCTTTCGCTCTCTCGCTCTCTCCCTCTCTCCAACAGAGAACGCAACAACTTCCGCAAGCTCTTTGATAACTGCGTATTTATAATAAGTAAACAGTGCAAATATTTGATAAAGTGTGAGGCATATTTACTAATTGGACAACAATAACAAAAAAAGAAATTTTAAAGTGTGCAGAAAGAGCAGCTCGTTTTGAAGATGCTTTTACCAGTTGCTCACGTTAAATGTTGAATATGGATGACGGCTCTTTCTTTAAATACGATATTTAAGCTATTCTTTTTAGTGTTGCGAAATCTGAATTGAGGTAAAATTGAAATTAAACTGAGCTCAGGTTAAGAAAATAAATTATATATGATTTTATATTTAATTTTTAAATTTTTCTGTCGATCGCATTATTTGTTTCAAATTATCGATAACTAATCCAGTTTTCTTCAAATCGATATATATCGATTTCAGATCTAGTAAAAATTCCTTTAGTTGAAGTAAGTGGCATATGAGCTTTAATATGCTAAAGAGAGCTTTCGCTTATACTCGTGTCTTTTTTTTTTGTTAATAAAAGTGAAAAAATTCTATTGCGATAAGCTGTCATTCACAATGGAATCTGTGCTGAGATAGACCGTTCGACAATTTTTGAGTCATAATTGCTTTTTGTCTGGCTTGCAATTGTGTAATCTATGTCGGGAGAGTGTGAACTTTGCACCCTACTACGTGGACATAGACGTTGCTGTGTGATTAATGCCAGAGTCGGGCTATTTTAGTCGAGACCAGTCTGATAGCAATAACTTATAAGTATAAATATAACTTGTTTTTAGAAAACATTAACAATTTGTGCGCTCCAACTGAAAGTTGAGTTAACCAAGTGAGACATAAGTGCAACAGAAATTAAGGGTACGAATATTTGGTATACTTACGCGTAGGACAAAACATAAACAAAGAACAACAAGTGCAAGATATAGTTAAAGTTGTGCTGGGTTTTGTTTGGAAGCAAAAGTGTAAAGTACGCCGAGAATTTGTTGTAGTTATTTGCGTAACTATTTGTGTGTCTTCTAAACGCTGTTTTTGTTTTGTTGTTTTTATTGTGGGCCCCTAAAGCTAAACATTTATTACTTTAATGTGTAAAACATAAACATATATCTGCATCTGTAGGTATATTTAAAGACAAATTTTTGTACTACAAGTTAATGTTAAGTATTTAGCATTAGGCTAGCATTTTGGTTAGAAGAAAGCGTGGAGGAGTTATATTTGGGGTTTAGTTTTTTGGCTATATACATAAAGATGAAACGTCAGGCGGTTTGTTAATATAGAACTTAAAGCTAAGCACATATAAATAAGTACAGTTGACTCTTGAGACATTTTACAACACTGGCTGTAGTTAGAGACAGAAAGAGAACGTGAATGAGTTAAACTAACATATATAGTATATATAGTATAGTTAGCTACAAAACAACTTAAATCGAAGCTAGCCTAAGCGCGGCCATACGTATTACGAGCATGTGCCACTAAATTGAAGATCCCTTATTGTTGAACCCGTACACGCTGAATTTATACAACACTAACACTTAGTATGAAGTACAACCCTGCTTTTCTGCTGCTTCTTCAACTCCGACTACTTGGTTAGTACTAAAAGAGTGAAATAGCAATTTTGTGATGTGTGGGTTAACGCTTGAACTAACCACCATTGGGCGTTGCAAGTGTGGCACGTCGCATGTTGGCATCGATGCGCACATGCAGACTGGACAACGTAGTATCCACGGGCAGCTCCATCTCCTGGGGACCCCGATAGGCGTCCGAAACGAGCGTTAGCTGCAATTAGAGATTTGAGAAGTGGTTTAACTATTTTGTAGCAGCAGTTGCTTTGGAATGTGTTGTTTCCTTTCTATAAACAAATTTGCCCTTCACTTTTCTTTCCATAACCTAGTTTTGCACAAAGATGCAACATCATCAACAACAAACAGCCACACACACACACACACAACAACAAGCCGCGTCGTGCTCTTGAGCACCACCTGCCTGAAAGGTAATCCAAGCTGCGATTTGCGTTTCAGTTGGCTGCTTGGGCAACACTTGTTTTCTGCTTGTGCTGCTGCTAAAGCTGCTGTTGTTGTTGTCGCCACTTTCAATTTCAATACTTAGTAGCAGGCCCGCAGGCTTTTAATTACACTTATTACGAATACTATCATCGTTGTGCTCTTACCGTGTTACCCGCTATGTGCTGCCCATGCTCTGTGCTCACAATGTGAATGATTTCGCCGCCAGAGCGTATGGCCACCTCGCCCAGTATGCCGCCCACAGCCTCTTCGGTTTCGTTCTCGGTGGCGGAGCGCTCACCGTACCACAGCATAAACAACTGCAAAGAGAAAATGATGCAAATCACAAATTGGTCACACTGGCAGCTTTCGTGTAAAGTGATTTGAATTGAGAGTTTCCAGTGAGTTTCATTGCACGGTTTCAATACAACTTAACTCACTCGCAGCTTTTATGAACCTTTATCAATTGGTCACACAGCTTTCGTATAAAGTGAATTTAATTAAGAGTGAGTTTTAACTGACTCGTCAACGTTTTGTAAGCCCTTAATGCTCTAGTTATTTACTCACGCGTATTCGCTTCTTGAGTAGTGTTATGGCCGCATCCTGGACCATTTCCGTGTGCGGTGGTATGGCAGCCGTTGAGATAAATATGGCGCTGTCGTAGGGCACCAGCTCTGCGGCATGTAACACGCCCACAAACGCATTGCCGCCCTCATGTTCTTTCGTGCTGTTCAAGCCGGCAATGAACTCACGCGTATTGTTGAAACTGAATGCGGAAGGTACACCTGTAAAGCACAATGTTGATTAAAAATGATTGCTGTGGGTGAAAATATTGTCAATATTGTATAAATTAACATCCAAGTAGCCCTTAGTAGCCTAGTCTTCAATACTTAGTAGCCTAGTCTTTAATACTTTCGATGGTATTTATAGTCCATACGATTTTCTAAGAAACATTTACTTTTACAATGTCGTAGGTCTTTCCTGTCCTTACCCTAACAAACTACAATTTAAATAACTTCTATCTGTTAATCACTGAAATTCAAATGAATTGAACACCTTAATTACAATTATCGACAGCAACAGCTCTAGCAAAAGTTTTACTAACTCTTCTCTTTATACCTAGCTTATTTTTCGCTATTTACTTCCAATACGCTTTAATTTGCCGATTTAAATCCCGTTAATGTGACTATCGATACGCGAAACTATCGATAGTTTTCAATCAACTGAACACCTTTATATCAATTATCGAAAGTTGCAGCTATTCTAAGAGTTTTATTAACTCTTCTCTTTATACTTAGCGTATTTCCCACTATTTACTTCCAATAAGCTTTAATTTGTCGATTTAAATCCCGTTAATGTGACTATCGATACCCAAATCTATCGATAGTTTTCCAACTACTCACCTGACGCATTCAGCGTGACAAGAACAATTTTAATATTAATATTCTTGTCCTGCAACGCATCAATGTACAGCCGCTTGGCCTGGTCCAGCGATGCTGCCGACGGATCCACTATAACCGCCAAGGGCATGCGAATGTACACATCCTTGATGTAGTTGCGCAGCTGATCGGCGGGCAACAGTTCCGGCTTGGCCAGATGTATGTGCTTCGATTGCTTGCGTGGCGCAGCTGTTGTCGTTGTTGTTGTAGTTGTGGTTGTGGTTGTGGTTGAGGTTGAGGTTGAACTTGTGGTAACGACTGGAGGCGTGCTGGCTGGCACGGCGCTGGGCGTTGGAGCGGGCCAACCACCAAAACCAGCGAAACCACCGAATCGCGCCTGCAACACGGGCAGAGGTGCATCCGTTGCAGTTGTTGTCGTGCTCGGTATTATGGTTGTGATGCGATGCTCGACACTGTCCGACTGTTCATCATAGTAGTATTCATCGGAGCTGGGCTTGAAGGGCTCGGCTTTGTGGTGCTTGGGCAGCTGCTGCATGTGTGCCTGGGGCTGTGCAGGCTCATCAGGATAGTTGGTCTCCTCATCCTGCTCCTTGGGCGCGCTAACCGGCTGCGTTTGCTGCTCCACCAGCATATCCTCTTCGGCATAGTCGTTTTCGTGCTGCGGAAATCTTTCCGCCTTGGCCTTGCGCACATAATCGGGCACTGTGGTGGTTGTGGCTGTAGATTTCTCTTCCTGCTCAGGCAGTTCGTCGTGCTGCTGCTCCTCATCCTGCATCTCATCGTAGTAATACTCCTGCGAATGATTGGTAGGTTTCTCCACTTTCGTCTCCTGTTTTTGTGTGGGCGCATCCTCTATGACTTCAGCCGCTGTATTCTCATCGTACTCCGGAGATGCTGCCGCAGCAGCTGTGGGCACTGCCGACTCTGTGGCAGCCACCGGCAACTTGTCTGTGGTGGATTGCTGACCCATTGCCAGCAACACGTTGACCGTTTGGTCGGACAGAGAACTCTCATCGGCCTCTATGCTGTTGCGGTGCTGCTGCATTTCCGCCTCGACCTCGCTCTCCTGCTGCGCTGGCTCATAAATGTCATCATTGCCGCCGCCGCTTGCACTGTCCCCGCCATCTTCAGCATAGTCCTCGTCCTTGGCCTCCACCTGGGCCTGCAGCAGCATTAGCAGCAGCAGCCCCAGCAGGCACAGGCTACTCGTTCGCAGTATCATTGATGCGGAATGTGCTTGGAATATTTAGATCAGTCTTCTGTTTAGCACCTCGCTTTGCTCAATCAGCATCCAAATATCTGCAAACAACAATTAACAACAACAACAAATGTCATAAATCAAGCATTTTTTGAAAGCTACCAAAAGCGGGTCTTCGTTGATTGACGCTCTTTAAATTGACGCAATTATGTGCCATTATTATAATTATTACTAATAATTGTGTTAAATTATCGTTGTTTTCATAGTTTCGACACTTTCGACACTTTGCGAAAAAGTGAAATGTGCTTACAATTATCCTATTATTTAAATCATTTTCAATTTAATTATCGATAATAGTCCAAAAAGAAACTGATTTAACCTTAACTTCGTCGGGAAGGTATTTTAGGTATTTTTCGCTGGTTCTTATTAAAGAGAGAGAGAGAGAGAGAGCGGGAGAGAGAGTAAGAGAGAGAAAGAGAAAGAGAGATAGAGCGAGAGAAGAGCAGGTAGAGGGAAGACGGCAAATTATGAGTGTATTAAATTTAACCCTATTTATAAAGCTTTAAATGCAAATCGTGGGAATTATATTAAAAAAATATATAAAAGGGAGTGTATCTAAAATAAAGATCTCAAATTAAAGAAGACATTATGAACTAATGCATTACATAATCATTCTATAAATGTAATATAATGATAAAGCTTGTTATCAGTATGGAAATGTGGAATGTTTTGGACTCGAAATACTTTTTCCTCCACCCACCCACTCGCCAGCTAATGTATGGTATTTAACAGTCTATCATTTTATTATTGGCCTTTGCTGCTGCTATTAAAAGCTTGTTATGTGGGGGCAAATATATATATAAAATCCGCTTACCACGCACTTTTCAGTTTGAAACATGATAAACAGCAAGCGAAATATTTTCCAAAAGTCATGTTCATGAACATGAGTCAATGTAAAACATAAAAAGCGAACGAGCCTAAATACATAAACAATGCTACAAATATATGATCGCAAAAAACGACAACCAAAAATACAAATTAAATGCTGTGTAAACGCAATTTTAAAGCTGGAGAAATGTTTCGCTTTGCGAAAAAAAAAAACAAAGAGCAGCTAAAGTAACCAAAAACCCCGTCAACAAATTGAGTAGCGCATTAGAAAAATGTATAAATGGATTGTGAGAAAAGAAAAAACAAAAACAAAAAAAAAAACGAACAAACTAACAAATCCACGATATGGTCAAGGTTTTTTGTTTTATTTCGTTTTCTGAAGTTTTTTAATCGAAACCTGCTGCAGCTGGGGAAAACGAAGAGCAGGCGGCGCTTGATTCGAGTCGACATTAGCAAATGATTAAAGCGTGAGACGCACAATGCAGCAACAACATTTGACAACTACTTGATGAAGACATGTTTTTTGTAGCTATCACTAAAAAATAATAACAATAACTATGTAAAGCTGATGCCTAGGCTCGATTAAACCTGGCGTGTTAATGCGCTTGTATCCATTAAAAGTGTGTAAAGGAAAGGGTATAATAAAGCTGCAAAAATGCATGAGACAGGCTGCGAAAACTTATCAATGTAATACCAAGTACTTCATCTAATCAATGAAAATACTTCACATTCAAAATTTCAAGAGAAATTTCCAAGTATTGAATCGATGTATCCTAATGATGAAATATTACTAGATAAATTGTATATAATTTTCCCTGCTTCGGATAACAATCTAATTGAGTAAACTTGATGTCTTGTTAAGGGGTATATGCCACTCGTGCAGTGCCGAAATGTTGTGAATATGTCTTCGCAATATCCATTCAATGCTGTTGCGCTCAATTTGATCAACTTTTAACATTTAATTAACTAAATGCAATTAGCACTTGGATTGCGCGTCATGGAAACAACAACATTTATATAAACATATATATATATATATATATATATATATATGCCACATAATGTATTTCTTTTTATTTACTTTAACGTTTTTTTTTTTTTTTTTTGCTAATGAATGCATTTTGCGTTTATTGGTTTCGAGTTGAAGAGCGTCTTGTTTGAATAATAAATTAGCAACAAATCAATTTGAATGATTGATTTCTTGGCTTTGTGTGTCTCGTGATGTTTGCAACAACGTGCTCAACTCATCCTAACAGTTGTCATTAGTTATATGCAAAAAAAAAAAAAACAGAGACAATAAAAAAATAGATGTGTATATTATAAAGAAATATACGCTATATTAAAACTCCTAAAAACTGAAACGTTGCGCGTTTTTTCTTTTCTTTTTTTTTTGTATATCCGTAAATATAAACAAATTAAGTTAAAATATTCTGTGTTCGTTTTTCTCAGTGTTTTATTTTCTTTTTATTTGGCAGCTGCGCTCGACGCGTTTTTATTTTTTAATTCGAAAATTGATTTGTAAATTTTTCAGGCGTTGCAAGGTCAACGCGCATTTTGTGAAGCCGGTTCGTTGATAGAAGAGAGGTCGCCAGAGGCAGAATTTGGGCGCTTGCGTTGCCATGACACAAAATCCCCCATACATTTCTTTAAACGATGCTCAGATTGAGTGCAGTTCCGCTTTCAATTGACAATAAATGCGAACATGCAACAATGACACGTTCGATTGTCAATAGGCCCCTTATCGACTTTATCAAATATGCGCTTTCATTCATAAATCATTTTCAAGAGACTTTTATTGAAGCTTTTTATGTCATTAAAGCACGTTTTGAATTGGCGTAAAATGCCGCACTGAAATCATAAAACAAAGTTAAGAAGTCAAGCATTAAAAGCACAGCTTAAATGTTTAACTGTAATTTTTATAGAAGCTTTCTTTTGGGTCGAAGAAAATTGGAAAACTTTGCCGCCAAGTGAGGAAAAGTGGAAAAATTATTAAAGTTATCAGATGTGAGTTATGGACAAGTGAGCTTTGTTAGCATCAGGGGTCTGAGCGGAAAGTTGCCGGTTCAAACCCAGCAGTTATTTTCAAATTTTATTTATACAATATTGTGCTATCAATTTGTTTGTTTTGTCAACGGAGCAGTGAGTCAAGGATCTGAACCCACGTAAAGACAACTTGCTTGTTTTATTTGAATTTCAATTTAAATAAAAAAGATATGAATAAATTCCATAGCTATATTTGTATATTTCTAAATTTGGCGTTATACAAATAACTTGCATTTTAAAAATTATTTATTTGACCCGAGCAACGCCTGGTAATATTATTTATATATGTAAAGGATATATATAGCCATGATTAAATGCAGTTCTACTTTCAATTGACAAATCGACCTTTTCCTTTTCAGTTCAGTCTTTCTATGTATATACATATATGTATATGTATATATATATAGCTATATCTTCATCTAATGTAAAAGTCGTTTTGAGTTCAGTCCTTCTGTGCTCTAAAGCGTGAAATCAGTTGCTAACATTGCTAATCACCTGTCACGCATCTCATTCAATTTAACACTTATAATCACTTATATAATCGCGACAACAAATTTTATAACAGCTAACAACTTTTCAAATTCTCAAAGGACGCTTTCCGAATGATTAATAACATGCGAATTGCCCTGAGAATTATACTTTATCGTACTCTATGAACAGATTTCAATACATCGCTTTTCTATTATTACGTTATTATAATGCATATGGTATAGTTGCAAACTAGCTATGTAACTTATAATTAGTTAAGAGCTCACAAAAATCTAAAACAAAGCTGCGATTTTAACAATTATGCTGGTTCTTATTATTGTCTTCTAGCTGAATATGTTTAGTTTAATATAATCTCCGTCCGTTCGTTTAATTTAAATTCTAGGGTATTTTCTTTAAACAAGTTCTATTAATAAGACATAATAATTTTTGTTGTCCGTCAATATAATGTTAAACATAAAAATATATATATATATAAAGTATCGGTTGGATTTAAATGGCCAAAAAATATTTACGTGCCATCACTAAGAGAGCGCAAAGCCTTCAATTCTTTCCATCGCTCAAATGGGACGTGCTTATTTTAATCAACAACATGGGCAACATCATCAAGATCTTAACTCTGACATCAATCAGAGAGAACCCAATATTTCACTTTTCGATTGCAGCTGACGTGAGACTTTTTATTTCTGCGAGTGAACGTAACAAACTGAACAGATCCGATTTGATACTGAGGTGTGAGCTCAGGCGGTAATTTGTTTATTATTATTTATAGGCAATTTATTTTTTAATTAAAGAAAGACAACAGCAAATTAAAAAAAAAAAAAACTGGCTGCGTCAGTTCATAAATCAGCAGCGGCAGCTGTTTTTTTTTTTTTAATTCTATAAACAAATTAGAAACGCGCAATTATTCGATTTCCCTGTGCCTGGCTGGTCGATTGCGGGTGGGGCGGTGGGGCGGGGGCTGCGGGTTTGTTGGGGGCCAGAGACGCAATGTAATTCACATAGCGCGTAAAGATTTGAGATATGCGCTATGATTTTTATATCACTTGACTGGCATTTTTTACTGCTCGACAAATTAATGAAAATAATTGCAAAAATTATAAATTCAAATTGCGTTTTTGCACACTTTTTATTTGTATTTTATATACCCTAACCCTAGGGGCAATAATGCTTGTTTACATTCAAGATAAGCAGAAGCAAAATCTGGTCACTGGAAATATATTGTACATAAATTGAGCTTATTACTCAAATACTTTTGACATCAAATCTTTAAATTAGCCTGGCACAACTTGAAGGCACATATCGACTCCCATCAGAGGAGGGTATACCAATTTGTGATAGCTTAACGCGCCTAGTTACAGCTTGTTAGTTTGCTAGCGAGCTGTGTTTATTTTAGAAATGCAAACAACAAAAATTGCAATTGCCATATTAAAAATGCACTCAATTTGTGTCAGTTGGAGCTTAGACGGCGTTCGAACCCTTTAGAGGAACCCACGCGCCGCCGAGCAGCTGCTGTTTTATTGTTGATTTTTCTTGACATTGAAATTCATTTTGTAAATGCTTTGTTTTGTTTACCTAATGTTGTTTAATATCTGTGTTAGATCGTTTGTGATTTATGTACGTTTACTTGTTTATATTTTGTGACATTTGGCATTTCGAGCACAAAATTCTTGAAAAGTGTCTGTTTTGATTTTTTGCTTTTGTTTCTACCCCACTTGCCTTTTATGCGACTTCTTGTTGACGTGGCGGCGAGTTGGACGGTCAAAATTGCATATATTAGCAATAAATTGCGAGTATTATAAATAATTAAATTTTTTGAAAGTATGGATAGTTGGAACTGGCGGGCGTCTGGCAAACAAATGACTTAGGCAACGAACTTGTTTAACAGGCAAGCTGTAGTATATTATTGAATTTGTTCAATATGTAAAACGATTGCACTTTATTTATGCATTTTGCGCACTTCTTTGCATTGTTCATGAATTACCTTGCTTATGCAAAGCAACAATAATAATAATAATAATAAAAGGCAACCACTTGCACTTTAGGTGTCTGGAGTCTTGAGTGCAGGCAGACGAAAACAAAAATCGGAGAAAAAAAACTCAAAATTCAACGTGATGTTGCGTTTGTTGTACTCGTATATTGATTAACCCGTTTATATTTTGTTGTTATTTTTCGTGTGCTGTTGTTGTTTTATGCTATTTAGTTGAGACACACACGTTGCGTGTTGTTACTATCGTTGTTGTTGTTGTTTCGAGCTGTTTTCAACACTTGCGGCCGCGACGACGTCTCAAATGAAACTGAAAGCAGACAACACAGAAACGGCGACCAGCGAACAAACCAAACCAACTCAGCACCACACAGCACCACCACGCTCAGTGTTCAGTTTCAGCTCGACTCAACTAAAACTCAACTCCGCTCGATCAGCGCTGCCGACGCTGACGTCGCCGATGCTGACGGCAGCTGCGTTCAGTCTTTTTCGCTCTGTTTAGTTGGAATCTGAAGAGCGTGATGCTGATAAAGTGGCAACGTGCTGGCCCCCAAACTTGACTAGGCGCCATCTGTGTATATGTAGTATGTTGCTAATATAGTGTTGGAGTCAAGAAAAATCTCTATTCGAGTTTGATTGACTATCTAGTTACCCATCACACTGTTTTTGAAACTAAGAATACCCTTTGCTGATCAACAAACATCCTTAAATTAGCACTTGATTTGTTTTAACTAAAATTTAACCTTTCAACAGCATTGTCACATTTACAACTCTTCTAACGGATACTATTCTTTTTCTTATAAATAAATTACATTCTGTATAATATTTATAGAGTACATCTAGTTACCAACAAAAACTGTGTACAACTTGCAGAATAGCTAGATTCAAATGGCCATAACATATCCATATAGTATACCAAACCCTTAATATATATTCAAAACAATTCTGTAGCGGTATACTAACAATATTCAATGCCTCTAGCTCAAACTAAAATATTTGTATTTATGGTTTCTGTGACAGAGTTCTTTGCACGTTGACCTTTTTATTGGCTGATGTCATTAAACGCATTCAAAATGAAAAAAAAAAAAATAAAAATAATGCTCATCTAAAGCCATTTAACTACATGCCAAAAATTAAAAAGTAACTACAATTTGCAAGGCAATCCGAGGTCTGTCACACTTTGTAGGAGGAAGTTCGAATAGCCGGCGCAGCGTCGAAAATGGAGCGTGTAACGAATTTAATATCGTGGCTCTGTCTGCCTCGTAAAACTCATAAATATGCCCGCTGTGAAGTCGGCTGCGATCGATTTGCCTATCAATAAAAACGTACTTAAACTTAATAAATACATGCGGAACTGTTCGACGTACGCAACGAACAATCAAAGTCCTATGACTAATGGCTTCCAGTTTTACTGGATCTGACGCCCAAAAAAAAGAAAATAAAATAATAATACTGGAACTTGGCTTTCTTTGTTGCTACATTTCTTTACCTTAACATGAGGCTTTGAGGCTTTGTTCATTGTGTTGGCGTCTCAAGGTTCTTTCAATGTTGCACTTAAAACTAAAGCGTTTGCAAAATGAACAGCAACTGCCAACGAGTAATACTATACGCTAAGTAGTTTTATTCTTTTGAATTTCACGAGACATTTTGTCGTGCTGTTTCGAGCAAAGAGGGCAGCAGTACATTGTTTTTATTCTTGCATATACTAGCAATGAAATTTATAACTTTGTCACAACATTTAGAGGGAATCACAGAATTTAAGTTATGCTACTTGGTATTTCCCGGGAGCACCAGACATAACAAATTTATTCCAACTAAAACCAGTTAAATTTATAAAATAGGCGTTGGAAAATGATGTTGATTTCCATTGAAATCAGAACTATTTTCATTTAAGGCCATTTAAGTGTCGTGTCTGAAGCCCTAGGCTGTAAATAGGCACGCATTTATTAAACTCTTCAAAGATCTTTTTAAACGAGTTAGAAACCTATCGATTGGTTAACCACATTACGCACTCAATTGTTTTCCACCAATTTTCCACACTTGCAAGGGGAATTTGCGCGTGTGCTTTGCAGACGTAACGCTACGAGCCTGCGGGGCTTAGGAGTCGAATTCGCCGGTCTAAATTCAGCATTAATTGTTGAATAGAAATTAAAATTGTCATTGCATTCTGATATGCCTCAGCCAATTGCTTGAATAATTCGGTGCGTAAGGTCTTACCTTACGTCTTACCCCTAGAAGATGGAAGACATAATAATTTTGTTGTTAATGCAACATATGCAACATTTTTGACTTCTTAGTAAAAGTGAATTTTGATTGTTCTTGTTAAAGTTTCAGAAACCTGCGTTCACAGTTGTGGAAAATGGTTACGCGATCTGAACCCTTGTCCACCGAACATTTCAGCTGCCTGGCTAGTCTTGCCCGAAAGGGTGAAAGGGTATTCAGTCTTCTGCAAGTGTGTTTGGCGGCTCTTCTTGTATTTCATTGTTGTTTTTGTTTAGCCTTTTTTCGCGAGGTTTTTAAATGATGTTGTCGCTTTTATGACAACAACAAAATATGTCTCCGTCTCATCTGCAAAATATTAGCCGTTGTTGTTGTTGTTGCCTTACATTTTTTTTCCACATAAATTCGTGTACGCGTTATGACCTACGTGCGTTCGCCTGAGTTTCCAAAAAAAGTGGCTCACACGGATTTGGAGTTTGTGGTTCGTCGAAATTTTAATTATAGCATTAGCTGTGTTAAATTTAAACAAGTAAAAGAATGTTTTCTGGTCGAACAAGTTATTTATATTAGGTCTGGATACATTTTACACAAATTTTCTAGTTAACTGTAAAAGATTTTGAAGATGGAATATATATAGAAATAAATAAATAAATTCGTTCAAAGGACGTTCATTTCCAAAGATGGAATCTGGAATCGACTCGACTACAACTGGAACCGCTTACCCAGGCCATTTAAATGATTCAAACTTATATAACGCATTTATTTTTAGCTGTTTTTTTTCTTTTCACGCTCTATAATTCATTTATTATTTTTACTTTATGTAAATGTACAATTTTTGTTTTGCGCCCACTTTCAGTATATTTATTTATTGCACATTTTTTGCGTTGAGAATTTATGCGGCTCACGCAATTTTCTTCATTTCGCGATTTCGTTATAATTTTGCAATCAATTTTGTTGTTATTGTATTGAGTTGTATTTTTATTTACACAATATTTTGTTTCTTTTTGTGGCAAGTAAAATGTACACTGATTGAAGTTAAATATTTGGCAATCGGCTCGTGAATTTAGCGAACACTCGCATATGGATCAATATATTTGATTAACGCTAAATTTGCGCTGATCGATAGATTTGATTGAAAACACACTTATAAAGACAAGTTCCCATTTTGTTGTTGCTGTTGTTGTTGTTGTTGTCCGATCAAAGTGCTAATCGATAAAAATGTACTAACTTGTTGCGTTCGAAACCCAATAAACGATTTACACTTTCGGTACTGGTGAGAGTCTGTGCAAGTCGCGATCATATAGTATAATATACTTAATAACTGTCGATATCCTTACGTGGGCGATCTGACTTGATGCTCGGATGCTTATTAACGGGCTAACGAGCGGCGCGCTACTAAAACGAAGTTCCCTAATTACACGCCCTTTTGTAGTCGCAGTTCAAGTCGAACTTAAGTTGTAGTTGTGCTTTAAATTGTGTTTAGCTCATAAATTGTTTAAATATTTGACAATTGGTTGCAAACGGACATAGAAACAATGCGTTTTCACGGCGCAAACACAGCGCACCCCGTTGACATATTATTGATAAGATTATTCAGGTAAGGCACAAGAATCGACATTGGAATTACCAGCCAGTGCCTCAAATGCGTCACAATGCCGCTAAGTGAGACTTCACCTGGGCGTGTACTTGGCTTTGGGCGCGGGTGGCTAGCCAGCCCTCACACAATTGGAATTTGCTGGAATTACCCCGGTGACAGAGGCATCAACTATGCCCTAAGCCCTCCAAAAAATAAAAGCATTGAACTCGCTACCTGCTACCTGAGTTCGTTGTCTAAGTCTTTTGTTTTGCGCCTGCGACCATGGGCATGAATACTTGTTTTATGCTGAGTTGAGCAGGCGTATGGAATGTGCTGTGAACTGTGCTAAACTCTGCTTATTCCAAAACTCGAATAATAAAAGACGTTTAAGAATTCCCTGATGCCATTTAATAAAGTCCAGCATTGGTCTTTCAAAAATTTCAAATCTACATATATGAGAATATGTTACACTTTTTGTTTTATAAAGCTTTTAAGCTTCGGCTAGAAAGTGCGTCACTTAAAGGTACAACATTTAAAACAACAAAATTCATTAAATTAATCTAAATGTCCGTATTGCCCTTAATAAATGTTCTATAAGACCTCCATATATGCGATTTGGTAACCAAGGTGTGTAAATGATTTGGCAACAGACGTCAGGCAAGACGATAAAGCTTTGCTTATTTTGTTTTACTTATTTATTTGTTGTTGCTTTTTTTTGTTTTACTTTTTGTGTGGGTTATAGAAAAATCGTGCATTTTATTTATATCAACTGGCAGACAAACCGTCTCGAGCATCGTCTCCAAACAGTTCCAAGCACGCATTTTTGTTGAGTTTTATTTTGATTTCATTTTTTTGGGCATTTCGTAGCCGCAGGGTTCAATGCCAAAAATGCCAAGCTCTGGTGGTGTTCATTTATTTATTTATTTTTTCATTATACATTTTTTTGGTTTCAATTTTGTCTTGTTCTTTGTTTTGGGTCCCCTTATTTTTGGCATGCGACCTGCACGAGCCTTTTGCCAGCGCTTAAAACCAAATTGTTGGCAATCTTTTCGGGGGCATCTTTATTGGTTGTGCGCTGCTGTGTGTGCGTGCTGTGTGTATCCTGCAAATGATTTCATCGTCTCTTGACGTGCTTATGTGGACCTTAATTGTTTTTATTTGAGTGCCATTATGTGCAGGCACTTGGAGCAGCCGGCAGCGACGGGTTTTTTTTTTTCGTTTATTTTTTTTTTGTTTCTGCCTTAAGTGCTTATGCTGCCTCGATTCGTTTATGATCGTTATGATGTCATGCCAAAGCGAATTCTTCTTCATTTCTTTTTTATGCTTTTTGTGCGCGCTCGGGCCATATTTGAACTGCGTTGTTCTACTTTTCTTAGGTGCCTAGACTTTGCGGTTAGGCAAGCGTATATTTGCTTTAACAATTTGTCAAAAATGCGTCATTGTCGTTGCGGCCTTTTGTAAATATTAAACTAAAAAAAAAATAAAATAAAAAACGACAAATAAATAAAAAAAAAAATAAAAAAAAAACGTCCCCAGACCAAACTGGAAATTTTGCGCCTGTTAGTCAATAACTTGGAGCCGTACGTTCCCCCCCTCACAAATCGTTTTCCAATACAATCCATAACCAAACATTGTTTTAAGCTATTTGCTGTTGTTGTTTTTATGGTTTGTTTGCTTTTTGGTCGACATTTGGAGTTACATTTGTCAAACAATTGCTGACGCCGCTTAAAGTGTCAGCGCCAGCTCAGAAAACAAACCCCAAAAACCGACAATGTCAAGTGCCTCGCAATACCATGTAGATAGGGAAAATATGGCAAAATACCGAACACCTCACAGTTATTACATGGCAAAAAGTGCTCGATAAAAAACAGTTACAAATTAACACATCTACTTATAATCTTTCAGGTGTAATTTCGATTTTTACTGCAAAATGTGCAGCGTTTTTTTTTTATGATCTACAAATCATCTTTTTAGTCACTTTTTGCTGGTTTATGACACTAGTCCAGCAAAAATGCATAAAGCAACGCTCTTATTATCTTTTATACACTATTTACTCGATTTATTTGAAATCAACTTGAACGAAACGCTCGAACTTATCGTTCTTTGAGGTGTACGAACACTTGACAATTCAATTGTAGATTTCTCTCGATTACGGGTTGTCTATTATTTCTATCAAGTTGTGCTAATGGTTTTTGTTAAATATGCAAATCTCTGCTTAATTACATTTCGTTATGTAAAGCTGTTTTAATATTTCTCTCTCAAGTTTTACAAATAATTGAACTGTCAATGCCCTATAGCAACAAGCTAAAAGTTATCGATGGCACTTCACTTATTATTTTCCTTTAACTATATCTTTCTCATAACTTTATTTCCTTTTGGAGCATACAGACGTAAAACCTTTTCTTCCCTACTAGCAACTAAAGTTATCGATAACACGTTAAAACGTGTATCTTATAAAATTGTAGATGACTTAAAGTATTCGTGAGCATTTGAATTAACTGGATCGTTGTTATATCAGGCACCTGCTCTATCGCAAGCTGTCAGCATTAAACAATCGTAGTTATGCAACAGTAAAAATCAGACTTGATAAATTCTAAGAGTTATTATCAGAGAACTCTGAAAGCTGACTGTAAGATAAGCTAGCCATGCGCAGCTGGCAACTGATCGCAATGCGAGCATAAATATTTACGAGTACAAATTGCAATGCTTGGAATACCTGAACACTGGTTAAAGCGGCTTCAACAAGGTGTTAAAATCGCAAAGGCCGTCACAGCCACAGTCCACAGTCCGAATCACGTTTTAAGATCGAGGTGAATTCTTACCACCGCCGCTTGCCCAGCCAAATGGCACGTTTTCTATGGGTTGGCAGCAGCCCCAAGCCCTCAGCCCAGCTTCATCTGCAATTGCGACGACTTTCTTTCTGGCCCAATGAAGTCGACTAACACACACCCAAAGATGATGGCAACAACACAACAAAAATTAAAACGAAAACCTGCAAAAACTAACAACTTCTTCTTGGCGCATTCAAATGTCATGACATTTGAGCTCGGCTAATGCCAATTTTTGGCTTTTTATGAGACTTAGACCAGCACGAGCACGTACATATATTTCTTTTTGATGTTCCAATCAATTTGAATGATGGATAATTGGGCAATGAGTGCACAAAAAATCATTCAATTTTGAAGAAAGTTTCTAAAATAGATTTAAAAAATAATTCAATAAAACCGAAACAATAAATATTTCGAGCGAAAATCTGTTCAAGTTACAAAAACAGTTTAAAAGCCGATTGAAAACCGGTTCGAGCCAGGCATTAAAATAATTTATTAACGATGAACCAGATAACTTTGTTAACTTATAAAAAATTTAAAAAAATGTAAATATAAATGAATATAAACAAATATTATTCTTATATTATTTATTCACCCTATGTAGCATAATTTGCAACAAAGCGTTTGCTTTTCTATACAAATTTTTTTGGCTAGTTCTTATTGGCATAAAAAGAAGTTACGTCAAATATAATACGGCTAGAAAGTATTGATAATGTTTTGGGAATGGCAACATTTATAAGAGCATTGCATATATTTATAACAAACAAATGGAATTCAGTCTAGAAAATTCTATTGATAGGAAATTATGATATTGATTGTTGACTTTGAGTAGCTGTTCCGCTTTAGCATAGTCTCTGACTGAGCGATAGATAACAACCTGTTTGAGGCCGCGTTGATTTTGATTAGCATATTGGATAGCCGGAAACTTAGTTTTGATCATAATTCATTTGATTACCTTTTTGTATAACTTGCAGAGCCCAAAACCCTGGTGACCGTTGGACAGCCCTCAATTATTGACGATAACGAAACGCTTGACGAGATCAACTTGAACGCCAGCAGCAGCGACGACTCAGCGACAGCGAACGCATCCATCAACCCCTTTCAGAGCAGCGCGGATGCCAATGCAAATCCGTTGCTAGAGCCGCCTCTTGCTGCAGATTCCTTACTTAGCCAGGCGGCGTCTTCATTTGGAGCGCTGCCCTCGGTGGCATCTAACGTATTTTCTACGTTCTCGAAACGCATATACGCGGGCGCTCGAGAGACGGACGAGGCGACCCCTATACAGCCCCAACTGGACATTCAGCCAACTTATATACAACAAGCGAATCAGCAGCCACTGGCAGCTGTTGCACCTGCTCCATTTTACGCCGCACCACCGGCTCTTTTCGGTGAAGCTGCGCCAGAACCACCAAAATTCTATGCGCCCACAGAGGTGTCCAGCTTAGGAGCTAGCGCCTTGCCTGTGCCGCCCACATCAGGTGGACAGAACACATATCGCATCAGCGCCAGAAAGAAGCTATACGCGCCCATACCAGGGCTCTCCGAACAGCAACAGCAACAGCAGCCAGTGCCAGCTGCTACGCCCTTCCAAACACCACCATATTCGCCACAGCCACCGGCGGACGCATTCAATCCGCCTGCACCACCCGTTCAAGAGGAACGCAAGTCAGTTGGTGGTCTTTTTTCGCTCACCAGCCTGGTGCCTACTGGCGTACTACAGAATATCTCGGGTCTCGTGCAATCGGCCACAGGCAGAACCAACGAGCCACCACCAGCTGTCAGCTATCCCCCTGCGGATTCCGGTGGCTACTTTGACATTAGCACAGCCACCGCAGCTTTCCCGCAGCCGGCAACAAACTTTTTTACGCCAGCCTCAGCAGCGCCGACCTCTGCTACTGGTTATTTTACACCTACTGAAGCCCCACCCCAAGTTGGAGGTTTCTTTAATCCTTCCATAGTTGCTGC